GTTTCAGAAGATAAAACTGAGGCTCACAGAGGTGAGATAACTTGTGCCAGTTCATATCACGAGTAGGTGGCTGGACTAGGACAGAAACTGAGGGCTTCACCACCCACGCAAGAGGGCAGGGACCAGTCTGCGGAGAGTTACGAAGGAATGCAAGCCTGGCCCAGGGAGGAGCTGTGAGCAGCAGCAGCCTGCTGGAATGGTGAGTGCGTGAGGGCAGGAATGATGGGAGAGGAGGCTGAAGGAGAGCAGGGCAGGTCTTCCAAGACCTTGGACACAGGTAAGGAGTTTGGGCTTGACCTAGGAATACAGAGGATCCTTGGAGACTTTGGATCTTTCAGAAGTAAAGAGCAGACGTCTGGGCTGCATGGAGGACGGATGGCAGAGGGGTAAACCTGGAGGGAAGGGCCTGTTAGGAGGATGGGAAGTACAGCACCAGTGCAGATGGAAAGGGAAGGAAGAACCTGAAGTTAAGGGAAGGTCCACATGCAGGTTAAATGACCAATGAATTCAGAGAAATGTAGGAAGTTCCCAGGTTCAACTCCTGAGTGTGTTGTGGTGCCACTTGCAGAGCTGGAACAGTGTGGCAGTGGGCAACCGCAGTTTGTAGCTGCCCAAGATCCTTGGACACTTGCCCTGTGTTCAGGTCTGAGTCAGTTATCTCCCAGTGTGCTTGCAGAGGTGCAGGTGTGAGGCTCGGACAGCCCACAGGAACCTTTCATGGGAAAGAATGGACTCACAGAAAGAGGCTCCGCAGGGGCCTGGACGTCAGCAGACGATGGCAGAGGAAGCTGAATGGAGAGCTGGGCCAGGTCTCATCAGCCAAGAAGCTGCCTTTGGGAGACGCCTCCCTTGTTAGGCGATTCTGTGGTGTGGTTCTGGGCATGTTCTTGGACACCCAGTTCCATCCTGTTTCTCAAGACACTTCAATGAGCTACTTAAGAGTCTTCATTAAATTCCCTTTCTGCTGCAGCCAGCCAGGCTGGACTCTGTTATTTACAACTAAGAACCCTGCGCAATATAACTGGGTTTAGCAGTGAGGGTGAAAAGGAGGTGGAAGGACAGGGGGCATGTTGAATGTGAGGTGCCCCTGGGGTATCGACGTGGGGATGTCCAAGGGGCTATTAGCCGTATGGGCCAGGAATGCAGGGCGGCCTGTGCTGGGAGCTCAGGCGTGAGATCATGAACATTTAGGTGGCTGTGAGGCTTATTTGGGACAGGTGTGGGGGGACAGGAGACCATCGAGTGTGCAAGCTCGATAGCCTCATTTAAGAGATGGCAAGCAGCAGGGGAGACGTAGAAGGAGACGGAGAGGGAAAGACCCAGACAAAATGGTGTCTGTCACCTAGACAGAGGCGCAATCTCAGCTCACTGCAACCTCCACCTCCTAGGCTCAAGTGATTCTCCTGCTTCAGCCTCCTGAGTAGCTGGGATTACAGGTGCCCACCAACATGCCCAGCTAATCTTTCTACTTTTAGTAGAGACGGGATTTCATCATGTTGGCCAGGCTGGTCTCGAACTCCTGATCTCAGGTGATCCACTCGCCTCAGCCTTCCAAAGTGCTGCGATACCAGGTGTGAGCCACCATGCTCAGCCAAAGAGAGAATATTTTAACACATGTGCTCAAACATTAACACAACATCTGTCCACTCAGGCAGGAGCAAGCAGGCCCCTGGACATCGGCTCCCTTTCTAGCTTGCATAGTCTAGCTCTAACTATGGCCTTCAGGCAGAGCTGAAAGGGGGGCTCCCAACCTCTCCCCCATGCCTGAGTGAGACTTATTCTATGCCTGAAGGTAAACAGTCTCAGCAGACTACGCCAGGTCAGGGAATAGTCTACTCCATAGTCTCTCTCCATGAGAAGGTTGCCCTACATCTTGAAGGGCCCCTCAAGGTAGGCCTTGAGATTGGCTGTTGCTGCATGCGCGCACACACACGTCTGTATCAATGGTCCGTGGTGACAGTGGCACCAGTTAAAGCAGAGAAATAAGGGCCAGGCTTAATGTATGGGAGGTGACCTGCACACAGCCCTCCTACACAGACACCCAATGGCACGGTGCCCGCCTGCCCTCATTCTCTCCGCAGGTGTGCAGGAGGCTGGGAAAGGTTTGCCCCGCACATCTTCTCCACTAGTTCTCTCCTCCCTCAGGGGAACCAAGTCCATTTTTAGCACTTTCACCATTTACTCGTTTTTCACCACTCGCTTCTCGATTCACCTGCCCTCTGAACTTCCCTCCTTTGTCTCCTCCAGTTCCCACCTACTTCATTCAGGGTCTTCCTCTCCTTCCCACTCTCCTTTTCCACACAGCATCGTCAGCCAAGAAGGAACCCTAACCATGGCTAAAAAGAGCCAAGTCCTGTTGAAATTCACCTAGACACGGAACAGGAGAGTTCTAAGTTCTAGAGGGAAGTTAGACCCTAGAAGCACGAATTCCTGGTCCTGACACATGGAAAGGACTGAATGAATGTTTAATTGAGTTATTGAATAAAGAACCAGTACTGCTTATCCCTGAAGCTCCCCAGAGTCTCTCCTGGGATTTCCACCAGTTTCTATCTCTTGCCCTCCTCTAATTAAACTGGCTTTTTCTCAAGCACTAGCATTCAAGAGAAATAAAATGCTTTTAATCAATGTTATTGGTTTTGTTTTGCAACAGTATTTTTTGCTACCATTCTTCACTGCAATTGTGAGATGATTAGTTTTTGTGTTTCAGGCAGCTGGGAGGGAGGGAGGGAGGGAGAATAGGGGAGTGAATGGGGCGGGTGTTAGCCTGAGAACCACATTATCTAATACTGTCTCTTGGAAGGCGACCTTGTGAGGTGGGACAGTGTGTGCAGGGCAAGCAGAGCCCACAGGACCGCTTCTGTGAGGGGTTCCAAGCCCCCAGAAAAGTGCTGCCTCCTCCCTAGGTAGCTTTTCTCCCAGAGTGGAAGGTCTTCCAAGGCTGGTAATCTTTTGGTTCTTTTGTCCCCAGCTCAGCCCAGTGTCACAGTGTACAGGTGGGTCTTACAGACTCATTAGTTTGATTCTCACCTCCCAGGAGAATTTTATATTAAAGCATACAGGTTCATACATTTATAGTAAAAATTGCCAATTGGTAGCAAGTGCTGCTGTGTGCTGGGCATTGTGTAAGCTCTTCACATGCATCATCTCACTTAACTCTCCACCTGCACTCAGAGGGATCCTTTCTAAGTGTGAATCAGGCCAGGTGAGGTGGTGCATGTCTACAGTCCTAGCTATTCAGGAGGCTGAGGCAGGAGGATCACTTGAGCCTAGGAGTTCCAGTGAGGTATAACTGCACTCCAGCCTGGGCAACAGAGCAAGACCCTGTTTCTAAAAAAAAAAAAAAAAAAAAAAAGACCCAGCTGTAAACCACATTCTGCCTCTCCCCTGCTCCAAACTCCCCAATGGTTCCCATTCCCATCATACTGGGAGTCAGGTTTCTGCCATGTCCCATGAGGCTCCTGCTCTAACTGCAGCCTCTCCCATCCATCCCCTGTCTTACCTTGCTCCTTGCTTCTCCTGGAACTGGCCAAGAAGCTCTGCCCCAGGGCCTTTGCACTGACTTTTCCTCCAGGCTCTGCCCAGCTCCGCCCAGCTCCCTTTTTCACTTTCTCAGCCATCTGTGCAAGTGTCTTCTCAGAGATACCCTTGCCACACCTAAAATACGACGCCCTGTCAAGCTCTGTTGCCTTCCCTGCCTTCCTTTTTTTTTTTGAGCTGGAGTCTCACTTTGTTGCCTAGACTGGAGTACAGTGGCACAATCTCGGCTCACTGCAAACTCTGTCTCTCGGGTTCAAGCGATTTTCCTGCCTCAGCCTCCTGGGTAGCTGGGATTACAGGTGTGTGCCACCACACCTGGCTGATTTTTGTATTTTTACTAGAAATGGGGTTTCACCATGTTGGTCAGGCTGGTCTCGAACTCCTCACCTCCAAGTGATCTGCCTGCCTGGGCCTCCCAACACAAAGTGCTGGGATCACAAGCATGAGCCACCATGCTTGGTCCCCTGCCTTCCTTTTTAACAGTGCTCAGCACAACTGGCCATTTTATTACAAATCTGTTTATTTGTCTATTACCCATCTCCTTGAAGAGAGTCAAAATTACATGAGGACAGAGTTTGTTTTGTTTACTGCTGTATTTCCAGTGCCAAGAACATGCCTCCAATACAGTAGGCTCTCAGAAAATATAGTCAATGAATAAATAAGTAGAGGAATACTCACAAAGTCCTGTGATTTAAATGCTTTTCTCCCCCCCTTGTTAAGATAGGAAAACTGAGGCTTGGAGAGATTAGCAATATTTTCAAGGTCATGAAGTCATGGATTTGAAGTCGAAGTGTCTGCCTCCAGGGGCTTAGCTCCCAGCCCCTGTGCTAGTTAATCTAGCTCTGCACTCCTAAATGCCTGTCAACATTTCTGTGTGGAAGCCCTAAACCCATGAGACCTTGACGAAAAAAGGCTTTGTGGATGAAACTGAAATACTACAAACTGCATTTCCCACTTAGTGTTTCAAACACTTGTCAGCGTATGAAAGTTCTGCAAAAAGCAAGCTGGTCTGTGTTTCCCAAATATTTGACTGTAGTGGTCTCTTGTTTGTTTGTGTATTGACATATTGCAACACATACCTTGAGAAATACCGGCTTTTATTATTGTGGAGAGAAGGCAGATCATCTGTCAAAGGACTGGGAGCTCTCTCTGGGTCATCTGACACTGGGACGGCTGGGGTCAGGGGCTTCCCTCGCAGGAGGAGGGGCCATCCCTAAAGTCAACTTCCCACCAGACTAGCATCTGAGCCCACTGTGTTTGTACACTCACAGGTAAGGCCACTCTCATGCTCACCCCTAAGACTGGAAAGCCAGTGGTGCAGCTCTAGTAACTTTCAGCCACAGCCCAGCCCAACTTGGCTCTGCAGGGCACTGAGAGAGTGTGTGACCTGTGTGTTTGCTGGCTCTCTTCCCTTTGGTCCTTATGCGAAGTGACACTTGCTGGTGTTCACCCTGAGCCCGTGAGAGAGCAAATCCTTGTGTGTGTCACTTAGGAATACCAGCCCCACAAGCCTGGTCTTTTTTTCCCTCACTGTTTTATGTCTCCTCGCTGTAACTTTAACATTAAGAGAAATAAGGATGCCACCTCACCCTCTTCTGTCTTCTCGGCTGCCTCTGTGTTGAGCCCATGGTAAAGGCGTAGATAACTCTTGATGTGAGTGTGAGGGAACCAAAACTCCCGTATGTTGCATAGTTTGCTGCAGGAAGGATAAATGGCGATGTTACTAATCCCTTAATTCATGACCAGAGCCTTCCCTCCGCCCCAAGTAGGATAGAAGGATGCCCAGAGGCAGAAAAGAACATCGAGTGAAATGTGCATTAACTATCTGAATCACTGCGTTCTTGGGAGAGTCAGAGCAACTGTCAAAGCCCCCAAAGTATTCATTTTTATTGGTTTTGATGTCGATTTGCTGCTGTTAGAGATTCAGGTCTCATCTTCGCTTCTGAGATCATCTGAATGACATCGGCGTTGGAGAAGGGAAGAGCGGAGACGAGGCATCCACAGGCAGCCCTGGATCCTGAGTGTAGACATCTGGGAGGAGGCGGGGCGTGCACGAGAGCCTGGCCTTTCCAGCTTGCCGGGCACAAGGCTGAGCGGGAGGAACTGAGAGGCATCCAAGTGGGCAGTGTTTTGCCTTTACCTCCAGTGACCATGAGAGGTGCCACGCAAGTTTCAATCATGCTCCTCCTAGTAACTGTGTCTGACTGTGCTGTGATCACAGGGGTAAGTTGCCTAACATTCTCTGTTCCCCTTGGTTTTGGGAAGATGTCAGGCTCTGCATGGGATGTGAGCCCAGGGACCACACAGGAGGCTCTGTTGGCTCGACATGCTGTGGACCAAAGGGAATGGGGAGTCAGGCATTGGATAGCACTTCAGAGAGGGATTGCATGGGATTTTCAGACAGGTTAGACCTCACTCTACCAAACGGGATGTGCTTTTGAGAAGCTGTTTATGAATCAAATTCTGTTTTAAACACATCAGTAAAGCATTGAACATTTTGAAGTTCAGTCTTTTGATAAAATGAAGATTCCTATTGTATAATAAGTAATTCCTTTATAAATTGGATTGGTGTACACTGATTTGTCTTTTATGTGAATTTTAGTATTTATTAATGATCTGGTTCGCATGTTAATATAATTTACATAACATGTAAATTATATTAAAATTATATTCAAGGCAGTAAGCTTAATTAAAGGTGATAAGCTTATTACCTTCTACTGTGTAAATTTAACCTCTGCTTAGAAAGGATATGCTTGGAACTCTTTCCTCTGTGCCTGCCCTGTTGGTTCTGAGAGGAATATGGATGACACTGACATTCAGCTGAGGGTACAAGTAGAAATCCAGTCTCAAAGCAGAGGTTCAGTATACGGGCACTGCACAATTGGTTCAAAATACTCAAATCATGGTTTTCTCTCAGAAGTTTGCTTTTACCTCGAACCACCTTCAAACAGGGGCATGTGATGTGTTATGGTAGAAGGACCATTCTTATTACAGCAGAAAGCAGTGCTTTACCTGAGCGCTTTCCATATAAAAGCCGCCCACCAGGAGAAAAAGGTTGGGGGGAGCAGGGAAACTAAGTTTCAGTTCAGCCTCCTCTAGCTTTTTACATAGAGAATGGAAATGTAGAGAAATGCCAAACCATTCCTGGAAATGGGTGAATGTTACTATTCACAGAAAGGAAAAATGATTTCTTTTCTCTTTTAAAGGAAAAAGACTGAGTTCAAAAGAACAAATATTAAAGTCGAGTGAAATGCTTTTGAGATCCAAAGCAAAAAAAAAATAATAATAATTGCAAAGGCAGAATTATACCTAATGAAGTGTTTACACTGAGGGCTGCCCTTCGAGGGGGTAGCTTGGAATTCTGGGAGGACAAGAACCACGGGGAGAAGCCCCCGCTGCTGCACTGTGAGGGCTGGAGCCGCGCTGCGTGGCTGCTCAGATGCCAGGCTCACCTCACACAGGTGCCAGCTTCAGCATGGCCCAGAGCGGCAGCAGGGCAGGTAGATCTGAGAGCGGCAGGCAAACATTCTCAGGGTGAAAAGCTCAGTAGGAATGCACATTTCCCTAGGTTAGGGGAAAGGCAGGAAAGACAGATGAGTGGTTAGGACAGGGCAGTAATGGGATGTCAGGCCCCCCCCTCCAGGTTCCCCACATCCTCCTGGTCCTGCTGGTATCCCGCGTCTGACTCTCAATAGGAGGCCAGGCTCCACTCCCTCCACACTCCCCAGCTCCCTGGACTGGGACTGTCCCCACATTCAAGGCCTTCTGGTCCTTCTTCTGGGAGTGGGACAGCAATGCCCCACCTCTGTGGGAGAAGAAGTCAACTGGGGCTTCCTATATCCCAACCCTGAGCTTTCGGGGCCTGGCTGGGTGTGAGATGCGCCCTTGCTGGGCTGGAGATCAGCACAGCTGGGTGGCCTGTAGCTCCTCTGCGTGATCAGTGGAGCTGGCATCTACTCTTTCCCTCTTGGGTCTGAGGAAGTAGGCGGCTTCCAGGTCCTGCCGTGCCAGGTCCCACACCGCAGCCGGAAGGTGCCTACAGGTTTTATTGGAGAAGAGTGATCCAAAACAGCTTTGGATTTCAGCTCAGAAAAGCCATGTAGCTTCTCTGAGAGTGGAAAGTGCAGGTGCTTCTTCACCAGGTCCCCACCTGAGTCTGGAGCCGTTCAGAGTGCTGTCTTCCCCAGCCCTGGCTTCTGTTTAACGTGGGCTCCGGTGGCTTTCTTTACAAATGGCACCTTCCCCAGACCAGGCAGGGCCACTCAGCCCCTGTTCTGTGATCCTCCCTGGAGATCTGGGAAGTCAGCAGGGAAACCCTGGGAGAGGCACCTGTTCACTGGGTGCTGGCTAGTCGGCTGAGGCTGGGGCTCTGAGGGCCAGGACCAGGGCCACTGTGCAGAGGGGAGGCACTGACCGCAGTGCAGGGTCAGGGCTGGAGACTCCCGGTCCAAGGCAGCTCAGCACTGACCACCCAGGAATTTAGGCCATCAGGGTCCCTCCCACCTCTGAGAATTCTAATTAATTCAATTCCACCAGCATTCATTGTGCACCTCCTAGCCCTAGAAAAGCTATGCCTTATATTCTCCAGCCTTGTCAGAAAAAGAGGATTCTCTTCTTACTGAGTAGCCTCAAGGATCTTGGACGGTTCCTCAGATCCAGTTCCAATGCCCCGCTAAGCCCTGAGCCTCCCCACGAGATGAGCAGGGCAATAACGTGTGGCCCAGGGTGCTCTGTTAGGCTAAGGTGAGGGGGAGTGGTGATATTCTCAGCCTTTTCCTTCTCTGTCCTGATAAAGGCTTTTTGGGTCTACCCTTCCCTTCTGCTTTCTCTTGGGTGCACTAATGGGCTGCTCCCTTCTCTCTCCCACCTGCAGGCCTGTGAGCGGGATGTCCAGTGTGGAGCAGGCACCTGCTGTGCCATCAGCCTGTGGCTTCGAGGGCTGCGGATGTGCACCCCGCTGGGGCGGGAAGGTGAGGAGTGCCACCCCGGCAGCCACAAGGTACTGTGCAGACACTGCACGGGTGCACAGATGTGGGTGAGCCATGCAGGGAGCAGGGAGTGAGGTCCTGGAGCCTTCCTCTAGCTAGGAGGGCTAGAGAGTCTGGCTCCAGAGAGGAAGTTTGGGGAGGCTGTGGCTCCAGAGGACTTCACCGTCCTCCAACAGCTGATCCTGCCCAGATCCAGCCCCCGAATGTCAAGGGGAAGCAGGCAGCTATGGGGTTGCTGTGCCTCCCCACCATCAGGCACCCACTTACTTAGTGCGCTGCAGGTCAGACGTGTACATTTATTTGTGCAGGGTCTGACGTGATCTGCCTACAGGCTTCCTGCACAGGTTGGTCTGACGTGATCTGCCTACAGGCTTCCTGCACAGGTTGGTCTGACGTGATCTGCCCACAGGCTTCCTGCACAGGTTGGTCTGACGTGATCTGCCTACAGGCTTCCTGCACAGGTTGGTCTGACGTGATCTGCCTACAGGCTTCCTGCACAGGTTGGTCTGACGTGATCTGCCTACAGGCTTCCTGCACAGGTTGGTCTGACGTGATCTGCCTACAGGCTTCCTGCACAGGTTGGTCTGACGTGATCTGCCTACAGGCTTCCTGCACAGGTTGGTCTGACGTGATCTGCCTACAGGCTTCCTGCACAGGTTGGTCTGACGTGATCTGCCTACAGGCTTCCTGCACAGGTTGGTCTGACGTGATCTGCCCACAGGCTTCCTGCACAGGTTGGTCTGACGTGATCTGCCTACAGGCTTCCTGCACAGGTTGGTCTGACGTGATCTGCCCACAGGCTTCCTGCACAGGTTGGTCTGACGTGATCTGCCCACAGGCTTCCTGCACAGGTTGGTCTGACGTGATCTGCCCACAGGCTTCCTGCACAGGTTGGTCTGACGTGATCTGCCCACAGGCTTCCTGCACAGGTTGGTCTGACGTGATCTGCCCACAGGCTTCCTGCACAGGTTGGTCTGACGTGATCTGCCTACAGGCTTCCTGCACAGGTTGGTCTGACGTGATCTGCCTACAGGCTTCCTGCACAGGTTGGTCTGACGTGATCTGCCCACAGGCTTCCTGCACAGGTTGGTCTGACGTGATCTGCCCACAGGCTTCCTGCACAGGTTGGTCTGACGTGATCTGCCCACAGGCTTCCTGCACAGGTTGGTCTGACGTGATCTGCCCACAGGCTTCCTGCACAGGTTGGTCTGACGTGATCTGCCCACAGGCTTCCTGCACAGGTTGGTCTGACGTGATCTGCCCACAGGCTTCCTGCACAGGTTGGTCTGACGTGATCTGCCCACAGGCTTCCTGCACAGGTTGGTCTGACGTGATCTGCCCACAGGCTTCCTGCACAGGTTGGTCTGACGTGATCTGCCCACAGGCTTCCTGCACAGGTTGGTCTGACGTGATCTGCCTACAGGCTTCCTGCACAGGTTGGTCTGACGTGATCTGCCCACAGGCTTCCTGCACAGGTTGGTCTGACGTGATCTGCCCACAGGCTTCCTGCACAGGTTGGTCTGACGTGATCTGCCCACAGGCTTCCTGCACAGGTTGGTCTGACGTGATCTGCCCACAGGCTTCCTGCACAGGTTGGTCTGACGTGATCTGCCTACAGGCTTCCTGCACAGGTTGGTCTGACGTGATCTGCCCACAGGCTTCCTGCACAGGTTGGTCTGACGTGATCTGCCTACAGGCTTCCTGCACAGGTTGGTCTGACGTGATCTGCCTACAGGCTTCCTGCACAGGTTGGTCTGACGTGATCTGCCCACAGGCTTCCTGCACAGGTTGGTCTGACGTGATCTGCCCACAGGCTTCCTGCACAGGTTGGTCTGACGTGATCTGCCCACAGGCTTCCTGCACAGGTTGGTCTGACGTGATCTGCCTACAGGCTTCCTGCACAGGTTGGTCTGACGTGATCTGCCCACAGGCTTCCTGCACAGGTTGGTCTGACGTGATCTGCCCACAGGCTTCCTGCACAGGTTGGTCTGACGTGATCTGCCCACAGGCTTCCTGCACAGGTTGGTCTGACGTGATCTGCCCACAGGCTTCCTGCACAGGTTGGCGAGAACCGCTGGTCTCATCTGATCCTCACAGCAACCCCGGGCAATGCTGAGGAAACTGAGTCCAGCAGAGTCATGTGACTTGCTCAAGGCACACAGCCAATGAGACAGCTGAGACTGGAATGGCGGCTTTCGATGCCAGCTCTAGTTATGCCTCCCTGATGTCGGGCACGGCCGCTTTGCTTTTGGGGGGCGGCCTTGGGTGGAGGGGTGCTGCTGATCTCATAGGCTGTTAGACGGTCTGGGCATTCCCAGACCATAATTTGCTGTGTGGACTTGGGCAAATTAGCTCACCTGTTCTTGGGCCACACACAGACAGCGAGTGGAGCAGACTCACTGCTTCTAATGTCCCTTACGGGTCTGATGAATTCAGATTTTGAAAGGATCTCACATGCCCTTTGCTCTGTAGGGAGCTCCCTTCAGGAACACAAAAGAAGACCCACAAAATCACTTTCCACACCTGGTCAGGTCTACAAAGAGGCAAGCCAGGTGCCCACTTTCTAAGAAGTCACTCACTCTCGTGCCCTAAGTACACAGCTCCTGCCCTGCTCCTGCTCCCTGAGAGCCAGCTCCCAGTCCAGAGTCCTCTGGAGCCACAGCCTCCTGCATTCCCTCCCTGGGGCCACTTTACCACACTTTACCAGCTAACCAGTGAAGCTCCCAAGTCCCACAGCTTTGTCATTAAAATGTAAATGGTGGTGGTTCAATCTAGTCTGACATCAACGTCTTAGAAGCAATGAGGGCGTTTCCACAGGCTCTCGGGTGACCTGCTCTCCTCCCTGGGACTTGCCCTCTCCCCACATGTCCCCCGCTGTCTGAATCAGACATTCCCGAGCACAGGCCCTCAGCCTTACCAGCCGCCTTCCACCTGGACTCAGGCACCTTTCGTGCTCTTTGGGGACTTGCCTGCACTCTGGCTCAGGGCTTATCTGGGCACAGAGCGTCCTCCAGCAGTCTCTCTCCCAATCACAGCCCCGCTCAACCTCGTGTCCCAGGGTGAAGAGGGGCAGGGAGTGGTGTAAGAGGCCGGACAACGTGGCAGTCCTTGTAACCCTGCTGTTTGTCAGGTGGTTCAACTGCAAATCCATATTCCCAGTAAGGACAACAGTGGTAATAAAAGCTAATGCTGAGTGCTTCCTACACGCCACCCTTCATACTGGGTGCTTTTTGTCATTTTAACCTCTTTATAACCATATGTGGCAGGTGCTGTTATCAACCCATTTTACAAATGATAAAGCCGAGGCACAGAGAGGCCAAATGATTTGCTGATTGTCACACAGCCAGGAAGTGGTAGACCTGGCATTTGAACCCAGGCAATCTGACACTGGGCCCATGCTCCTAACTTCTCCTTGGGGATACCCCAGTGGTTTTGCACTCCTCTGGGCTGTGGATCAGGGCAGAGATGGTGGCTGTCCTGTTCACAGCTGGGCTTGCAGCACCCACCACGGAGTTACGAGCCCATAATGGATGAGCAACAAACATTCAATCAATGTGTGTGTGTGTGTGTGTGTGTGTGTGTGTGTGTGTGTGCTGAGTCTCCAGAGCCAGATAGCCTGGGTGCAAATCCTAGCTCCTCCACAAATTAGCTGTGTGATCTTGGCACATTGCTTAGCCCCTCCGTGCCTCAGTTTCCTCATTTCTAATTGCTAGCATTGTTGTGCTAGGTGCAATGGGGGGGTGGGCTAGGGAGTTGGGGCAGACATTTGCCAGGGCTGGGCTGGGCAGAGACTGCTGCCAGGAGGCCCGCCTGCCTCCCTTTGGTGAAGGTGTTGCTTTCTTCTCTCCTTAGGTCCCCTTCTTTGGGAAACGCCAGCACCACACCTGTCCTTGCTCTCCCAACCTGCTGTGCTCCAGGTTCCTGGACGGCAGGTACCGCTGCTCCACGGACTTGAAGAACATGAACTTTTAGCGCTTGCCTGGTCTCAGGATGCCCACCATCCTTTTCCTGAGCACAGCCCGGATGTGCATGCGTTTCCTGCCATGCAACCCAGCTCCCATAACTCTCCCAGTGCCTGCACTGACTACCCTGATCTCTCTTGCCTAGTACGCACATACAAACACAGGCAGACACACCTCCCATCATGACATGGTCCCCAGGCTGGCCTGAGGATGTCCCAGCTTGAGGCTGTGGCGTGAGAGGTGGCCAGCCTGGTTCTCTTCCCTGCTCATTTGCCAGAGAAGTGACAAATCGCAGAAAGGACATTCCTCCTCCCCTCCCCAGGTGACCTGCTCTCTTCCCTGGGCCCTGCCCCTCTCCCCACAGGTGCCCGTCTGACTGAACTAGACATTCCTGAGCACAGGCTCTCAGGTGACTTGCTGAGTCCCAGGTCCCGGCCTGACCCTCAGGCCCTCTCTGTGATGTCTATGGGGACCCATCCGTGGGTTGTTCATCTTCCTTTGATTGGTCAACTCCTTAGTTTTAGACCACAGGCTCAAGGTAGGCTCTTCCCAGAGAGCAGCGGACAGTCACCCCAAGGCTGGTGTAGGGAGCCAGGGAGGTCAATCAGCCCCCTGAAGGCTCTAGTCCCAGCCAGCCTGTGGTCTGACTTTCTGCCTGAATTGTCATGCCTTGAAGGCCCCCTCTTACCACACTCTACGAGTTAACCACTGAAGCCCCCAATTCCCACAGCTTTTACATTAAAATGCAAATGGTGGTGGTTCAATCTAATCTGATACTGACATATGAGAAGGCGGTTAGGGTGTTTCCCTAGACAGCTGCTTTCCAGGGATCAGCCCTGAGAGTGGGATGGTGACTTTGAGGGGGGGCAGTCCTCTGTCCAGATTGGGTGGGAGCAAGGGAGCGGGAGCAGGGCAGGGGCGGAAAGGGGCATTGGTTTCAGACCAGGAAGGCAACTACACACCAACCTGCTGGCTTCAGAATAAAAGCGTGAACTGAACCAAGATGTGTGACCTGGTGTTCCTGCCGTGGGTTTCAGCCAGGGCCTATGCCCCTGTGGCAAGGACCAGGTTGTGTGCAGGTGCGGGAGGAGTGTGACTGGTGTTCCTCCCCTCCCCCACACCGTCGGGGAGTGTTTTTTGGAGAGTGGGTTTCAGGGTCTTTTTGAAGAAAGGATGAGAGGCAGCCCCGTGAGCTCTGGGCAGGGTGTGAGCTACTCCGAAGGGTTAGGGGCAGGAAGGGGCTGTGAGCTGGCAGGGGCTGGGAAGACTCCATGGCTGAGACTGCTTAGCTGCAACTCTTATTTTTAAAATTTGGGCCCTTTTGTTTAAGATCAAGTATTTCACCCCACCAGGCCACTGTGTGCCTGGAGAGAAGAAATCCACATTGCTGATGGAGCTGGCAAGGTCCCGAGCCTCCATCCTAACCCAGAGGCTGGGAGCTTCCTCTAAATGTAGCTTCCTGGTCTCGCTGTTTCTTTTCCTCTTCAATTCTTAGTCTAGAAAAATGTAACATACAATAGGAAAGTATGTCATGCCCCATTCTATTGCTCAGAAGTCTCCAGGAAGACTCTGGTTTCTGAGGCCTGGAGTGCTCCTGCTGTCCCGGAGGGCTGGCTCTGTGTGTGTTTCTTTGACCACCAGCCCTCCCTGCTCAGGGGACACCCAGGACAGTCTTTACTCCAGGACCCTTTCAAGCCAGGCCAGGCCCCGACACTGTCCTTTCTTTGTTTTTGTCTCGTTTTACGGACAGTGCCACCTGCTGTGCTGACTTGGGGCTTTCTTGCAGCCCTCGAATCTCTTTTCTCTTGGTTTCAGGCTCAGGTCCTGGATATAAAGTTCCCTTCCACGTCCAGGATTCCATTTTCACCATCCTGTCCTTTGCCATTCATAGCTTTCCTCACGGTACCATTGATTGCTGCCTGCTGGGCCTTTGTGGGGCTCTTTTCTACCTTGTGCCCCTCCCTGCAAGCAGAGCCATCCTGGATGTGGCAAGGTCAGGTCTCAGAGCAGCAGGGGGTAGGCGAAGGTGGCTGCAGGCACCAGGACACCCCGTGGTGCTCATTAACATGCCAGTTGCTGCTGTGTAATCTATTAAGGTGGTGCAAAAGTAATTGCAATTTTGCCATTAAAAGCAATGCAAAACTACAATTACTTTTGCACCAACCTGCTAATCGGACCAATTTTCATATTCTTTTCTTTCTTCCTTTTTTTTTTTTTTCAAGAGAGGGGGTCTCTTTTTACCACTCAGGCTAGAGTATAAGAGCATGATCATAGCTCACTGCAGCCTAGAACCCTTGGGCTCAAATGATCCTCCCCTCTCAGCCTTTCAAGTACCTAGGACTACAAGCACGTGCCACCATATCTAGCTTTTTTTTTTGTAAAGATGGGGTCTTGCTATGTTGCTGAAGCTGGTCTCAGATTCTGGGCTCAAGCAATCTTCCTGCCTTGGCCTCCCAAGGGGATGATAGGCGTGGGCCACTGTACCTGGCCCGTTACACAAATCCTGATGCACAGCTTGAAACTATGTCATACCGACTGGAAAGGTTCATAGTCAATGCACTTTTTTTTGTTTTTTTTGAGACAGGGTCTTTATCACCCAGGCTGCAGTGTAGTGGCATGGTTACAACTCACTGCAGCCTCAATGCCCTGGGCTCAAGCCATTCTCTGGCCTCAGCCTTCTGAGTGGCTAAGACCATAGCTTTGTGCCAGCAAGCCTGGCTAATTTTCTTTTTCTTGAGACAGAGTCTGGCTCTTGGCCAGGCTGGAGCGCAGTGGTGCGATCTCAGCTCATCGCAACCTCCGCCTCCTGGGTTCCAGTGATTCCTGTGCCTCAGCCTCCCGAGTAGCTGGGATTACAGGCATGCACCACCAAGCCTAGCTAATTTTTGTATTTTTAGTAGAGATATGGTTTAGCCATGTTGCCCAAGCTGGTCTTGAACTCCTGGCCTCAAGTGATCTGCCTGACTCAGCCTCCCAAAGTGCTGAGATTACAGGCGTAAACCACTGCACCTAGCCAAGCCTGCCTAATTTTTAAATGTTTTTGTAGAGATAGGGTCTTGCGTTCTTGCCTGGGCTGGTTATGAACTCATGTGCTCAAGTGAACTGCCTGCCCTTGCCTCCCGAAGTGCTGGGATGACAGGAGCGAGCCGCAGCAGCTGTCCATCAGCGCGGTTTCATTGTTATTTTTGTTTTCGTCTCCTTTGCAATTTCTTACGTCTATTTTTTGTTGTATTTGTCTTCTGTGTCTTAGTTTCACATTCTTCTGTACTGGTTTGGGAGTTCTTGTCTTCTTTGATCAAATGTAGTATATTGCCTAGGACCATTCTCATTTTTTATCTGAATTTTGAGGAATGTAAAATTGGTCTGCGTTGTTATTACTGGGCAGAGAGGAGGAGTCTGGGGAGGTTAAGAAGAATAGATTTGTGAGCATTCTTTATATTCAGGAATATGTTTTTCAAAAATATAAAAATAACTGACTTATAAGAATGTACCTACAAGAAAAATGAATTCTAAAATAATTAAATTAAATTGGAATCAGGTGATATTGACAAATCTTCAAGATAGGGAGGAGCCTTCAATTGAACGTCTACTTCCTTTTATGGCGCCAACACTTTGCTCCCCAACTGGTGGTGTCTGCTTCCATCTAGTGGTTAAAGTGGGGTATAGCACAGAAGATCTGAAGTGGAAAAGAGGGGAGACTCAGAAAGAGGCCACTCTTCAAAGCAGATGGGGACCATTCTGCAGATATACCCAAACGTTAGACTCAGGAACAGGTTTAGAGGGACAGCGTTTCCATTTATGGAAAGAAGTCTGCCACCCTATGGACCACACCAAAAATGCTTAATTGCTGCTTGGGCCCTGTGCCATCCTGGACACTTCTTCAGACGGGTTTTAGGAAAGGCTGAGAACATCCCCTCAGATGGGTGGGGGTCACAGTAACACTACCGAGTGTCCCGTTCCTTCATTTGTGTATCCCTGGGACACAGCATGAACAAGAAGAGCTGCCTCTCTAAGGCTTTTTCATCATTCGATCCCCTCCCCAAACCTGCATTTCTGTCATTTGCCTTGGTTAATGCTTCCACCCTCTCCCTGGCATCCAGAGGGAGGTGGGGGTGGGCTAGAGCCTGGAGCCCTCTGCACCAAGGAGGAAGGGCTAGACACAGACTGACAGGAGGGTAGAGGCCAGAGCAGAGTTATCCCGGGAGCTCTCCTGAGGGCCTGAAACACTCAAAGGAGATTAAGTGGAAATCTGCTGGCTAAAGCCAACTCCAGCTGAATATTTAACAGTGAACATGGAATGGTGTAGTCCATAGAATTCCAACTGATGACTGAGCAGGCACAGGTGAGTGCATGCTGACTGCTGTCCCTCCTGTCCATCACCTACACCCTTCTGAGGCCCCAGGAGGCAGTGGCCAGAGGAGAGACCCAAGGAGAAGCCAGAAGCCTCCGAAAACCAAAGGAAAAGGTCAGCTCAGCAGAGGCTCTGCGGCTGGGGACCTGCTTCAGAGCTGAGTATGCAGGATGATTGACACTGGATTTTACTTAGAGTGTGTGTTCGTCTCGGGTGGCTATGCTTGGGCTGGGGCCGAGGTGGGGCCAAGACCCTTGGGCTATGGAGGGCAGCCCTTGATGTTTATCTTGCTCCACTTCCGCTGCTAGAACAAAATACCTGTGACTGAGTGATTTATAAGGGACAGAAATGTATTTCTCGCAATTATGGAGGCTGCGAAGCCCAAGATCAAGGCAGCAGCAGATTCACAGTCTCCTCAAGGCTTTCTTTTTATACCCTCATATGGCAGAAGGTAGTAGGGCAGAAGGGGCTGGCCAGTGCCCTGGAGCCTTTTATAAGGGCACTAAGCCCATGCGCAAGGGCAGGGCCTAGTCTGACCTAATCACCCCCAAAGGCTCTGCCTCTTAATATTGTTGCATTGGCAGTTAAGCTTCAATACATAAATTCGGGGGACGTTCAGACCACAGCAGCATTCCTACTTCTTCATAGCCTTGACAGTGACAATCACTGGGTTCCAGAAATTGCTACTTGAAAGTTTGACCCATATACAGTCCGGGCTTGTCTCAAACTCCTGGGCTCAAGCAATCCTCCTTCCTTGGCCTCCCAGAGCACTGGGATTACAGGTGTGAGTCAGTGTATGTGGCCCATGAGTCAGCCTTGACCAATGAGGCCGGCCCAAGAGTCAACCTTGAGGATTTGCCTGGGTTGTGTCAAAAAATCAGATTCTACCAGAGGGGGAAGGAAGCACAAGGTAGGCTGAGGACAGATTCTCTGTCTGGGTATCATTGGGGACAACCTGTTCTGATTGGGAGCTGGAAAGGAAAACGAAAAGAGTCCTCTTTAAACAAACAGGTCTTTTCCATCGCATGACAAGTGAATGGATACAACACGCGATAGGCACACAATGGAGTATTATGCAGCCGTTAAAAGGAATGAAGTATTGATATGCACCACAACACGGAGGAACCTTGAAAACATCACGCTAAGCGAAAGAAGCCAGTCACAAAAGGCCACATCTTGTATCATTCCATTTACGGGATATGTCCTGAGTAAGTAACTTTAGAGACAGCAAGTAGATGAGTTGTCGTCCAGGGCTAGGGGTGGGCTGGAGGTAGGAAAGTGGGGAGTAACTGTTAATGTTCTTTTTGGGGCCACAAGAATGTTCAAAATTAGTAGTAAGCATGGTGGCACAACTCTGAGTATCCTCAAAATTATTTGAATTGTGTATTTTAAATGGATGAGTGGTCTGGTATGTGAGTTAGAGCACCAAAAATCTGTTTTAAAGGTATTAAAATCCAAAAATTAAAAAAGAAAAAAAAAATAGCTCTTCAACCTCAGTTTGTAGAATTGAAAAGGATGAGGCCAGGAAGGGGCCGGGGCTCACGGTCTCTGAGGTTTGGTGCTTCCAGGGACCCAGGAGACCTTCAAGCCCTGGGGCACATCACCAGCAAGGAGGCGTTCTGGGCTGGACCGTGGCTTGTTATTCCT